TGTCGCCAGACCCTGTATGGGACAAGGAAGAGGGAGCAGAGCAGAAGCTTGTTCTGGGTAGCTGTCCATCTCAGAGGAGGTCCAGTCTGCAGGCTTGCAAGCCACAGGGCAGATGCTGGCTGCCAGCAGTGTCCTGGGTGGGGAGGGGAGGCCACAGCAGGGGTCCTCACACCCCCAACTCTGTGCCTGGGACCCTTGTCCCTGTGCTAGCCAATGACTCCCAGCCTCCAGCCCTCAGCATTGCTCTCTGACTCAAATCTTTGGAGTCGGGCCTGAATTCAAATCTTGATTCCCCCCCTCGCAAGCTGTGTGATCTTGGACAAGTCACTTTTCCTCTCTCAGCTTCCGTTTCCTAATCTGTAAATGAGGAAATGTGAGCACCTACTGTGCTGGTAGCTGCGAGGATGCCGTGGTACCGGCAAGGCCAGCCTTTCCTATCACAGACAGTGGCTGTTGCTGTTACGGTTGTTTCCTATGACACATCTGCACCTCCCAGTCTAGGCTGAGTCCCTGGCACTGCGCAGCCCCACGGCAGCCAGGACGGTGGCTGGTCCAATTACTGTCCATCTTAACAAGACCAACAACACAGTGTTGTCTGCTGCAGTAACTCTGTATAAATAGAAAAGGAGGTGAGATGTCCCAGCTGTGCTGTCCCAGTCCAGACAGAAGCTTCCAGTGCTGGCCTGTCTGAGGTGGGTGGCCACCACATGGTCAGCATCTGGGTGCCTTCTATGGTTATGGCAAACCCTGCTGGGCGCATCCCTCCCATGGGCATCCCAGTGCTACTCCACGTCGGGCCTCGCCATGGAGCCAGGCTCGGCACCAGCCCAGCTTCTTGGGCATCTCAGTGGTCCAGGCTCTGGGGCGGGAGACTCCTCACAACCACCATCATTACCCCCATCACAGTCAAGGAAACTGAGGCTCAGGGAGGTGAAAAGGTTTGCCTGAGGCCACCCACCTGGTAAGTGGCAGAGCCAGGGTTCCAAGTCTCCTGGCTCCAAGCCCCATACTCCCATTTAGACCACAGCTGCCTGTCACATGGCAGAGCTGCCAGTCTGGGTGGGCCACTGATGATGGGACCCAGGACAGATATGTCACAATGGGTGCCAGGGAGGCAGTGGAGAGGAGGTGGAAGATGTAGCAGGGGGAGGTAGCCACAGTACAGCCTTGAGCCCTCTTGGAGAGTGTTGACCTCAAAGAGGGAATCAGGCAGGGAGAGCCATAGCCTGGATACCTCTGGGTTCAACTATGCCCCCATCTTGCCTCACTGGTTGCCGGGCACCAGAGGATCTGGCTGGGACAAAAGAGGGACTGACAGTATGGCAGCCTGGACAGACAGTTCGAATCCTGCGTCTGCCACTTCCCAGCTGGGTGGCCTCAGACAAGCAATGCAACCCTCTCAGCTTCAGTTTCTTCCTCTGTAAAATGAGGCTAGATAAAACCTCCCTGACGACAGTGTTGTTGTTACGAATCAATAATCTGGGCAAAGCTCTTAGCTTAGAACCTGGCACATTGTAAGTGCTCAGTTTTATTATTATTATCATCACTTGACTCTCAGAGTCTCTTTCTTCAGCTACAGAATGAGGGTAATGTTCTTCATGAGTTGTATTATTGGATTGGATTGTATGGATTAAATAAAATATGCCTTCATCCATACATTCCTTTGTTCAACTAACACCTCTTTAGCAGCTCCTGTGTGCTCTGCTCCAGCTGCTGGGGGTTGAGCTCATGGAGCAAGACCCACTTCCTACTCTGAGGGGTTTAAGTCTGCGGGGAGAATCAGACATTAAATGCATGAATGATACAAATCAGTATCAAATTGCAGTTGTGGTAAGCACTGACTGTATGGGGCTTAGCCCAGCACAGCCACAGTGCAAGTGGGAAGTGGCTGTTCTTATGATTTCATGACGGTTTAGGCTTTAAATATTTCCAGTTATGGCCTAATAACAATACTGAAAAGATTTCCCTGGATTTGTGCAGTATTAACTGTAGAAGATTTGCTGCTTTTGGAGCAGTTCTTGTTGTGGGAGTGAAAGGCTGTTTATATGGAGGTTCTGTCCAGGTGTTGCTGAGGCTGAAGGTCTCGCCAGGTCACTGGGGCCAGGAGGCCTCCTTTGGGAGGTCCCCCAGTCCTCAGTACATCGTGGCTTTGGCCTGTGCTCTCAGGTCCTGGTTGTTGGGTGTTGGAGTCCGCATACTTTGTGGAGGGGAGTGATGAACTCTGACGGTTGAATTTGCTCTTATGAAGTAGTGAGCCCCCCATGCTCCCAGGGTGCAAGCAGGGGTTGGGGGTGGAAATAGTGTGCAAAGACAAGCTGCTTCAGGCCGCATTTGCAGAGCCGTTGACCTGAGAGGCAGCAGAGGGGCCATCACCTGTCCTCCAGGGCAGCATAGGGTGAGCCTTCCATGCTGAGGGTGTTACTTGAGAAAAGTTGATTCCCTGTGTGTTTCTGATGGCCAGTGAGGGGGTCAGAACACAGGTGCTGGAGCCAGACAGACCTGGGTTCAAGTCCTGCGCACTCACTGTTAGGCCTCAGGCAGGTTTCTTAATCTCGCTGACCTTCAGTTTTCTCCTCATCCTTCACAGAGTTGACGGGAGGATCACAGGACTTGAGGAGGGTAAATTCTTGTCTTATAGTAAATCTTCAGGAAGCCTTAGTTCTCTCCCCTTTCCCTTATCGTGGTCCTCAGTGTCTCTGCTCCTGGGAGTCAGCTGGGTTCAAGTCTGCACAAAGTTTGCGTTTGGAACAAAGCTGCCTCCTGGTCCTTATCCCCTCACCTCATGCTCAGCACCAGAGGACGCTTTTGTTGTGGTTGCAGCAGGAATGGGATTTTCAGGATTGCCATTGCTGAATCCTTGGGGAGGTAACTGAGTTACATTTTTAAGAGGGGAGAGGAAAAACACAGTCAAGAGAAAGAATAAATCTGTAGATTTAAACCTACTTAAACTTGGAACTTCTGTACAAGGGAAACTATTTCTAATTACTAAAATTTTGGAAACGTGGAGCCACTAGAAAGAAAAGAAGTGGAAATGGCTCCTATGAGAAGTGCTAGCATATGTTTCTGTGATTTAATGATTTCCTGTAACAATGTGTAGCTATTTTAAAAGCAGACGAATGACTCATGGTATCCAGCACCAGCAGTCCACTGTGATGGCAGGAAGCGTGTACTCCGGGGAGGCAGGCTTGGGTTCGACTCGCATCTCCATCATTTACCAGCTATGTGACCAGGAGCGAGTTATACATCCTTTCTGAGGTTCCTTTTCCTCCTCTATAAAATGGGTTGTTGTAGAGACAAGTAACGTAATGAACCTATAAGTCATTGCAGTGCTCATTCATCCATGCAAAAAAACCATAACTTTTATATTAAGTACCTGGTTAATTACCTTAGTAACAATTCTTAGTAGTTTAATAGTAAACTTTTAAGGCTATAAATTTTCCTGTGGTTACTACTTTGGTCTGGTCCCATAAATTTTAATATGTAGTGTTCTCATTGCCATTGTCTTCGAATAGGTTTTTTATTTTATATGTTTTGCTTTTTCTTTGACCTAAGAGTTGCTTTTGAGTGTGTGTGCGTGTGTGTGTGCGTTTTCCAAATGGTTAGAATTTTTTCTATATTTATTGTTAAATTCTAGACGTAAAGTAAGATCGCAGAATGTGTATAATATGGCCTTTACTTTTTGGAACTTACTGAGCTTTTCTTTATAGTCTAGTATGTAATCAATTTTTGTAAGCATTCCATAGGTATTTGAAAAGAATTATATTTTCATTTATATAACACCAAGCTTGTTAATTTTGTTACTAAAATACTATGTTCATATATACACACATACATACATATATCTGTATGTATATATTTTTATATTGTACATATACATGTGTATACACACACAAATTCTAGAAGAGACACGCCAGTGGCTCCCTCTATGGTTGTGGCTTTGTTGATTCATTTTTCATTTCTGGCATGTTTTTGCTTTGTGTATTTTGATGCAATGTTGCTCTGTGAAATTTGTAATCATTAGATCTTCTCAATCAACTCTGCTTTTCATCAATATCAGTCACTCCTCTTTGCCTTGTTCAATGTTTTCTGCCTTGAATTCTGCTTTATATCACTACTCCTGCTCAACTGCACCAGTATTATGGGTATAGTGGCAGTACTTACGGGGGGCTGCTGGAAGGGCCTGCCATCCATTGTCCGTGCACATCTCCAGAGAGACTGAACTGCGGCCCTGCAGCAAGCCCGTCAGCTGAGATCTGTGTAGTGGGTCATGCTGCACAGCCAGTCCTCTTCTCCCCTCCCTGGCCAGGTGGCTTGTCCTGAATTCCCCCTGGGGTGATGTCATGAGGCCATGTCAAGGCTCAACACTGGCCTGTCATAGTGATGTTATTGTATCACACGTTATTTTCTTATTAAGCACCCTCAGGAGAATGCTCTGTCTAGCCTTAGTTCTTTGTACCAAGGACCGTTGCTTTTTTGATTTCTTCTCTTGTCCTTTATTTATTTTATGATATTGGGGGTGTGTATGTGTATGTGTATGTGGGGGTGTGTGTGTGTACAGATAGATAGACAAATAGACGGACACACAGCTAAGTGAATAAATGAAAAACTGAATTCAATCCAAATAGTGTTCTCCTGGATGTAACACCTTAGACCTATTAAACTTCATCGGTTGCTGAAAAACACAAGTATTCATTCATCACTTTCATGTCCTGTTATTTTCCAGTCGGGTTACAGGTAAAAACCCTTGTTGCTGGAGAGTGTATGGACTAGAAATGCTAAAATCTTGCCAGCATTCATTTGGTTGTGGCTCAGATGTTTGATTTATAGTTGAGCAGTCTCTGTGAAAAATTAGTAGTCAGGATTGGAATTGAAGTCCAAACAGGATCTTGGTTTTCCATAAGTCACCCTTTATACCTTCTAACAGAGCAGTGCTGTTTTGTGCTATTTTGTTCTGATTAGTGGTGAGCACCTCCATCATTAAATGTCTTCTTTAATTTTAGGGATCTATCTGCTGGATTTAATCTACATCGATTCTGCATATCCTGCCTCAGGCAGCATCATGGAAAATGAACAAAGATCCAATCAGATGAACAATATTCTCCGAATAATTGCTGATTTACAAGTTTCCTGCAGCTATGGTTAGTACCCTCGGTTGTTGGAATTGTCCAATCTTACATCACTGAAACTTGGCTCCAGCACCTTATCGGTGAGAAAGCTCTAGAAACCCACAAAGCTCTTCATTTTAATCCCTTGAGCATCAAATATTTGCTAGATCTTTTACACACAGGCTTGATCTTCAAAGACTGTGCGAACTAGATGTTACCACCTATCGATTACAAATGAGAAAACTGACACTGAAAACAGTTTAGTCATGTGTCTAAGATCACACATCTAATGAGTGGCAGAGTCCAGTCTGTCTGGCTTCCAGGTCATTCATTCATGAAGAGCTTTATGGGCAGCTCCTGAGGGCAGATTCAGGGACCCAGCCTCCTTCATCCTGTGGCTCCGCCATGTCCCGTGGCCTCAGAGTCCTTCTCTGAGCTCTACATCCAGCTGGCGGATGGAGGAAGAGAGAGACTCATACAAGAGTGGGTTGGTTTTATGGGCCAGACATGCAAGTGGCACACGTCGCCTCTGCTGAGGGATGCTAGGAAATGTCATCTAGCTATGGTCCTGGAAGGAAAGGGGAAAGGACTGGGTAAAAACTAGCCAGGCTCTGCTACACATGACCAGATCCAAAGTGTGACCATGATGGTGAGTGTCTGAGATGGATGGAGGAGGTGGTTGTTGGAGATGAGGTCAAGGAACTGAGAACTCAGAGTGCTAGATGGGTGATCCATGTAGACACTGATTTCCCCCAAGATGCCAGTGGACTTGGGGGTGTGGAGCTCCACTGGGAGCCAGGTCTCCAGTCCTCCAGTGAATGCCCAGAGGGCCATCAGGAGAAGTCAGCAGTGACGAGAGGAACGGGTGGTAGAGGTGCAGCAGTGTGCCTCTGTGGAGCAGGGTTTCACAAGAGGGTGGAGGAGTCTGGGAACAGCAAAGGGGGCCAAGAAAGAAAGAAACCAACCTACCTACAGTATACAGGGTGTGAGAAGCACCAGCCTCCGTTTGGGAAGGCCGCAGGGAAGCCAGCATGGGGTTCCTGCAGGGGGCGTTCACTGAAGCAACAGGCCCACTCATGAGCCCCGTACAAGCACCCCAGGGTGGGGTGAGGTCTGCACTTCCAGATCAGCTCTCCTTCTGACCGGAGGAACAGGGAGGGGACTGCGTTCCCAGTTCAGTCCTCACCCGCTGAGGCCCTTTCCTTGAACAAGCACATGGACACTCGTCCCACTGGCCAGCAGAGCAATTACAGACGTGGCTTTGAGGTCAGACGGACTTGGTTCAGATCTCAGCTCTGCCTCTTGAAAAGTCACTTTCTCCTCTCTACGTCTGAGGTTTTCTCGTCAGTAAAAATGAGGACATGGTACGTGCAGAGCCTTGAGCATGGCCCGACGGTTCATTAGTGCTCAGTGCACGCTCACTGTTACTGCTGTCATCTCCACCTACATCTTCCCTGTCCTCAGCTTCTTGATGAAGCAGGAGTCATGCCCATTTCAGAGACGAGAACACTGAGGCTCTAGAGAAACAAAATGGCCTCCTTGGCATCTCACAGTGAAGGGGCAGAGATCAGGTGCTCCTTGCAGGACTGAACGCACCTCCCAGAAAGCGAGGACCCTTCCCCACCCTCCTTCCTGCTTCTCTTCACAGCTTCCTCCCCTCCCTCCACTTCTCCCCTTAACTTGTTCTGTCCCACCCTGTGGGGAATGGCAGAGAGCATCGTGGAGGGTTTTTAGCCCGTTCAGGAGTGTGGTGACCAAGAAGGTCTGCAGAGAGCAGCTGGCATCAGTCACTCCAGGAAAGAGGCCGTGCAGTGTGGCAGAGGCCTTGGGTGACCTAAGGTCCAAGCCTGGCTCCGCCACTTCTCAGTGTGGTGACCTCTGCAAGTTGCTGGAGTTTCTTCCTCTGTGCAGTGGACATGTTATTTCCCCCAAATGAGGCAGGTGTGAAGGTTAACGATGACTCCTGGAGATCACCTGGTACAGAGCCTGGCACAGAACAGGTGCTCAGGTGTCTAGGCCCCCTCCCTTTCTTCTCAGGATGCAGCTGAACTAGCTCATGGGCCAGACTCTCGAACTTTGCCAGAATCTAGGTTGGGCTAGATTCTGATACTGGGCTAGATACACCAGGCTGGATGGGGTTTGTGCGTTCATTCTTGCATTGCGGGGGGTGAGCAGGCATGAGAGGCTTCCCAGGTACCCCAGTGGAAGCCTGTTTTAGGGCACAGACATCTGGCTCTGATCTTTTCTGGAGGTCATCTTTCCCCAAAGACCCATCTTTCCCCAGCCAAGGAAGTGTGGTGATCTCAGATTGGTGACGTCTGGGGGGCACTCCTCGAGGACAGAAGCCAGGCCTGATGACCCCTCAGTGCCCAGTGCCCAGCACAAGGCCTGGTCCAAGGGACCATCAGCAACTGTTGAAAGACTGAGTATATGTCTCAATACCCAAGGAGCATCTAGCCCTGAAATCAGTGATTCCTACACTTCTCATTTGGGGCCTGGAGATGGGGAAAGACTGAAGCCTCTGGGTTTTCTCCACCTTTTGCAGATCACCTCACAACCCTGCCCCACGTGCAGAAGTACCTGAAGTCCGTACGCTACATCGAAGAGCTCCAGAAGTTTGTGGAAGACGACAACTACAAGTAAGTGCTGGCTTTCTAGCCTGGCCCTTGTTGGGACGAGTGAATCACCACCTGCAGGGCTCACGGAAGGTCACACAGCAGCACCCTCACGCCAGCACACACGAGCACATGGGCGTAATGTGACCTCTGACCCCAGAGAGCCTGCAGTGGTGCTGCCTGAGCATCTCCTCCCACAAGCCCTGCCCCAGCCCGACGGCCGCATGGTTCTGAGGAAGGTGTTTTGTGAACTTCTCAGCTTGGCTTCCCCAAATTGCGTGGGTAGTGTGAATTAGGACTCCATAGCTATGCATGGTGCAGGCTGTGTGCCCAGGGGTCTCACGAGCGACCCCCCCCCCACTCATGGCACTGGGTGGAAGGGCAGCTTTCTAGCCATGTCTCCAGGCCAGCAGACAGTGTTCTCCAAAAGCCTGTTGCATGGACGAGACAGCTCCTTGTGGTCCCAGCTTTCTGCAGGGTACTCACCAGCAGGCGCCCCATCCCCATCCCATGCAGCCCTTATGGAGTAGACCTAGTTCCCATGAAGACCTCTGCGGGCCCTGTGGCCTCGTCTTCCACACACCCTGCTCTAGCTTTCGGTTCTTCATTTGCAGCACCTGGGAATTTATCCAGCATTTCTATGTATTTAGAGGGAGAAGGAGCATTTTCCATATCAACTCTGTCTGCCATATTGATTGGATATCCTCTTGGCTCATTTTAAGCTTGAGGTCAAGTAAAAGCCTCAGTACTTTCTCATATGACCTGATATTTCAAGGCAAGTCTCAGCCATCTTATAATTGATCATTTACCCACTAGATGTCAACTTTACCTCTTTAAATCTCATCTTACTGATTGCTTCCAGTATACCATGATTCCTTCGAATCCTGTTATCTAACATATTTTTTATCTTTTCCAGTTTTGTATCTGAAAATTTGATCAGCTTGATTACTTAGTCTTCATCTAAGTCGTTGAAAACTGTAGAAAACTGTGGCCACTAGAGATACCCCTGAGGTTACCCCCGATTCGCTCACCAGGACCTTGCGAATGGCTGTTCAAAGAGCTCCACATCTGGCCAGCTCTACAGTAGTGGTTTTCAGCCCTGACTGTGAATCAGAGTCACCTGGGAAGCCTCTGACCATCCAGATGTCTGGGGTGGAGACTGTGAATTTGTATTTTTTAAAGCTCCCTTGGTGGTTCTGATGATTGGCCATCTTTGGGAACATAAGACATAATGTCTTTAGTTTTATTGTATAACATTTTGTTAAAATAGAATATAATATGAAATTTTGATGTATTACATAGTAGTAACAATAGATGAAGGCCAGAGATTACCATTAAAATTATGTTTTCGGGGCCAGCCCTGTGGCGTAGTGGTTAAGTTCACGTGCTCTGCTTTGGTGGCCTGGGCTTCACAGGTTCGGATCCTGGGCGTGGACCTACACACTGCTTATCAAGCCATGCTGTGGCAGGCATCCAACATATGAAGTAGAGGAAGATGGGCACGGGCGTTAGCCCAGGGCCAATCTTCCTCAGCAAAAAGAGGAGGATTGGCAACAGATGTTAGCTCAGGGCTAATCTTTTCCTCACCAAAAAAAAAAAAAATTATGTTTGCCACAAATTGAGCTCATTTTACTTACAAAGCGTTTGCTCTTCCTGAAAAGAGTAGCCCGGAGTATGAAATTATTCCCACTTAGGTTCTGGGATAATATTTTCCATTCGTGTGCCAGCAGTGCGATTAAAGAGACAGTAGTTTTTCATTAACGCTGATATCCTTTAAGGAGAAAAATGGTCTATAAATACTTCTGACCATGAGATAATCCTTGGACAAGCTGCAGATCCTGAGTAATTACTCCTTCCGTTCTGAAGGACATTGAACACCCCCAGCACTTAATGCTGAACAGTCATCTTGGAGTTTACAAAGGCTCTTTGTTGTGGTCCAAGCAGACAAACCCAGGGAGGAAGCCTGTGTCCTTGCCCCCCAGCCTAGACCGTTGAGGGGGTCCCTTCTCAGGGAGGCCCTGCCTCTGAGTGACACAGGGCTTGTGATTCTGCTTGAGTAACCCACACTCCATGGCCCAACTCATGCCCAGAGACCTGCTCTCCGCCCCAAATGACGCAGAGGCTTAGTTATTACCTTGAGGACATTGCATTTCTAACACCCTGCCCCCATCTGCTTTGGAGACATTGTGCCAAGGCGCCCAACCTGTGCTTTGTTTTTCTCAGCCCTTAGTCTATTCTATTTTATTTAAGAAAAATTACCCAAATTCCCATCACCTAGGAAGCATGACCATTTGCATTAAATAAACATAATTTTGGACATTTTTCTATGCATAGAAAGTGCGTACATACATAGAGAAGGGTGGGCATATGGATGGGTGGAAGGATAGAATTTATTAAAATTGGATCATACTACACTTGCTATTTTTAATTGAAAGTATTAACTTTAATTTTATTTTGATTTAACCAGAAAAGGAACTGAATTAAAACGTAAGGAATTGCTGCTCGTCAATTAAATATTTCTCCACCACAAGAGATATTATTTCCTAAAAGAGCCTTCTAAGATTAACAAAAGAGGTCAGGAAAAACATTCAGAGGTTTGAGTGCGTTAAGTTCTGTTTTAACTAGATTTCCCTTGTGATCAGGGTCAGTTGACTCTGGATAATTAAGATGAGAACATTAGCGCTCTCCCCCTTCCTTCACCTCCCCTTCACCATCTTCCAATTTTTGTTAGTTATATTAATATTACTATGTAGTCCAAGTTTATAACATACACATCATGTTCAGGAATCATAATTCCTACTGTTTAATGTTTTTAAACAGATAGATTCAATTCTTACCACCTGTTGTTTCTCCACAGCTTCTCCATTCCTAGAGTCTTTATTTTAAATCAATTCCTTATTTAGCTGGATTTCGTCATGACGTAGGTTTTCGCAAGTCCTGCATGCTCTGATTTCTTTCACAAGAGCTTCCCTGTCTGACTTGCTAGACGGGCTCCTTTGCGTCTCTCTCCCGGGACTTGCAGACCCTGTTCCATTGCCTTCTGGCATTGGATGTTGCTGGAGAGAAGTCGCAAGCCAGTGTGACCCTCTCCTCTTGTGAGTGACTTGTTTTGTCCACCTGGTGCATGAGGAAGTCCTTGAAGTCCAATAGCTTAACAAGAAGAATGCCTCAGAGGGGAGGGTTCGTTACCAAATTTCCCTGGAACATGGTGTGCTCTTTCTTCATTTCGGAGGAATTCTTTTGGTTTATATCTTTGACTACTTCTTCTGTGCCATTTCTTGGCTTGTCTCATTTGGGGATTCCAGGAATCCGCGTGTTGGATTCTCCATCTTTTTCATCAGCAGTCGCCAGGATGATCTGTATTCATTCAGTCCTCTCTTGTTTTAGTCCTTGATTTGTTCCTCTAGGCCTCCAGTCTCCCTTTCCATCTTACTCCTTGGTGTTATCATCTCATTTTTCAGGTCTTGTTTTATCAACTCGGGTTCTGAATAGGTTGTTATACAGCTCCAAGCACTTGGGGGGATTTCCTTGTGTTCCCAGGGCCTGCCTTCTGGGCTGAGCAGTCTGGGCAATGCTCTAGTCCTTCCTCTCTCCTTTATTCGTGAGAGGATGTTTGCTAGGTCGCTGTACCATTTCTTTTCATCTTGCTCCATTGGAGAGGTTCCATGTGGCTATTCCATGGCTCAGATGGAGGGAGGTGACATCTGACCCACTGCCGTGGTGTGTGTGATGGGCTGGCTTTCCTCCTGCTGTGCTGCGAAGTCCAGGGGTTCTCTGTCTTTCCCCTCTTCTCTAGCCTGGGGGTTGCAGAGCTCAGGCTCCATGGAGGCAGGGAGCAAGCAGTCAGTTTTAGATATGGGGGCTCTATTAAAAGGCCTACATCAGGGTTTCCTCCACTTAGTTGAGGGCTGTATCCCATTCCAGAAAGGGATACCTTAAGGTTTCAAATCGCGCCCCCATGGAGCCTTCATTTCCATCAGAGTATCCACTATGCTCTCCACCCATCCCACCCATTGCTTCCAAGCATCTGGAGCCACTCAGAAGAGGGAAAGGTAAGGACTCCCACTCAGACCTACTGAGAAGTCTCAGAGGGCAAGATAGGATCCGTGCCGTGTTACAACTCTTGGTCAGACTTCAGAATCCTCTTTCGTTTCTTGGCTGCAAGTTTCTGAATTTCATGGCTTCAGTTCATGCCCCTTCCCTTGTTGAGCAGCAGCTGGTGAGTTCTTTTCCTCCTAAGCCTTTATAATTGTTTGTAGGTTTTGTTGGGAGAGGGAGAGTCTGTCATCTGGCTTCACTCTGTCATTTTCACCCAGAAGTTCTTAATCAATGCTTTAAAAAAATAATGATAATATTGAGGTGCCAATTCTCATAACGTGTCCATTGCCTCGTGCCTGTCTGGGGGCATCTGAGAGGGAGTGCAGTGTAATAATTAAAAACTCCAGTTTAGGAGGCCGGATCTGTGGCCTAGTGGTTAAGTTTGGCATGCTCTGCTTCGGCGGCCTGGGTTCGCAGGTTCAGTTCCTGGGTGCAGACCTCCACCACTCATCGGTGGCCATGCTGTGGCAGTGACCCACATACAAAATAGAGGAAGATTGGCACAGATGTTAGCTCAGGGTAAATCTTCCTCAAGCAAAAAGAGGAAGATTGGCAACAGATGTTAGCTCAGGGTGAATCTTCCTGAGCAAAAAAAACAAAAACAAAAAACTCCAGTTTGGGGTCAGATAGTCCTGGGTTTGATCCCCTGCTCTGCCACTTGCCAGCCCTGTGAATTTGGGGAAGCCACTTAACTTCGCTACTCCTCAGTTTTCTCATCTGTAAGATGGGATAATAAACATCCCTAGTTCATGAGAATGAACGTTGTTGAGAATGAACACATTTGTGCTTGGCAGACAATGGGCCATAATTACTGTTTTTACTGTGCCTTCCTTAACCATTATTTCTTGGTCATGGAAATCCCCTGGGGACCTTGGGGGGAAGTGGCTGTCATCTGGAGCAGACCTTGAAGTATTCATGGGTTCCGTGACTATAATAGCCCTTAACAGCAATGCACTTTCCCAGTTCCAAACGTATACATATTCACTTCCTCTCTGATACACCAGAGCCTGCTGATCTTGTGAAAATCTTTGTTTTCAGACTGTCGCTCAGAATCGAACCTGGAAGCAGCTCTCCAAGACTAGTCTCTTCCAAGGAAGATCTTGCAGGTATCGTAGCCACCTCAAGTGGGGACAAACCCACTAAGAGCCCAGACGTGGCTGTCAGGGTCGGCCTTGACTGTGGAGCCAAGGGGCACAGTTGAGAGTACAGGTTGGCAGACTCAGCTGTCCCTGCGCACAGCTCTCCCACACCAGCCTGCCCAGGTTCCTGATCACATGGGGCCCCTGGAAGAGCTTGGGACCCAACAGCCCCAAGAGAGGCAAGATCAGAGCCCCAAGGTGGGAGCATGCACAGGGTAGAGAAAACCCCAGGATCTTCTCTGGGTCACCTGGACCCTTTTTATCAGGCCTACTGCCCAGGCTCGGATGACATGCCTTGGAGGGGTGCACAGGATGCCAGGGTATTTGGTGTCACCAGACACAGATGGCTCACCTTCCTGGAGCATCAGTTTTATTCGCATATTTGGGACACACACACACAGTGTCCCTAGTGATTAAGGGCCCAGGCTTTGAAGTCACACTGGAGCTGTGCTGTTTTCTAGCTTTGTCACTTTACCTCTCTGATCTTCAGCCACAAGATGGAGGTAATACTAGCACTCACCTGATGGGTTGTTGTGATGCCTGGGCAAGTTCATGCCTGTAAAGCGCTCTGCGCCTGGGGGCACATTGGGAAAATGCCCGTGGTGTTAGCTGCTTCGTCCTTGTTACTGTCACGGTTTCCTTCCATCAGTATTCCAACCAACTCTCAGTGACTGGGGCTGATCTCTGCTGCTGCCTGGGGAGGGACTGGATTGGGGGCAGGGGTCCAACTGTACTTCCTCCTCCTGTTTGAGTTTGGGTCACACCAATCTTGGACAAGCAACTTTACCCCTCTGGGCCTTGGTTTCCTTACCTGTAAAATGGGGATAATAAAACTTCCATCCCAGGATCATTGGAAAGTCAAAATTGAAATGATATTCGGAAGGCACTCAGGGTAGAGTCTGATGTGCAACGAGTGTTGGGTGCGGGGGTGGCTGTTGCAAACTGCTGCCTGGTGTTTTGCCACCCCCCAGCCTGTTGACCAACTCAAGCCACTCTCTCCACTGTCTGGAGCCAGGCCAGTGCAGCAGGAGCGTCTCCTGTGGGCACGGACGCAGAGCCCACAAGAGCAGTGTTGCAACCTCTCACTAGGCCTGCCAAGCAAGGACTCTGCCCTGACTCCCAAGTTTTCAACAGGCTCCTCATCTTTTCCAGCCTCTCCTGGCTCCATTGTGCAGGCTGGACCCTGCCCCTAGCACCCCTGGAGGCCCGGTAACTTAGCAGAGGGAGACGCTGGTGGATCCACAGAGCCTTGGAGGTGCTGCTGTCCACACCTCAAGAGACAGAGCCTGGCCTAAGCTTGATTTCCACAGGGTTCCATGAGCCCAATCTTAAAATATCTTCTGCACTCTCCTCCCAAATCCTCTGCCTTCCACACATGACAGATGACCCACTAGCCAAGGTGACCAGAAGGAAAGCTCCTGGTGCTGGTCTTGTCTCTGCCTTCTCAGCTCTTTCCCTGTTCTAGAATGCCTTCCCCCTCTCGGTCAGCAGTGTTCCTTTCAGATGCTCGGGTCACTTACATCTGACCTGTGTGTGTGCGTGTGTGTGGAGTGGAGGCAGACGTTCCATCAGAGGGCTGGAGGAAATGGCAGCAGGATTGTAAAGCAATTGTGTAGGGCCACAGAAGGAGCAATAGGAACCACTCACCGTTCAAGACTCTTTAAGAGATAATGCCAGAATTCTGGAGCAGAGAGTGGGCTCAAATACAAAAGTGTTCTGCCCTTCTGAATCTCCTCCAAATTAGTTTGAATAAGAGATCTTTGCAGCCTTAGCTGGTTAATGTGCCTTAACAGGATGACCACATCTCTGGCCTTCCCCAGGTGCCGAGAAGTCTCCATGGCCACACTTGCTTTCTACCCTCCAGACAGTGCTGGAGGATTCATCTCCCATTGCCCCTTCTTGCCCCCAGCCCAGGGCCCCCAGGGACCACCAGCTCCCCCTGCTAGGCTGGTGGGCTGTAGACCGGAAGCCAGGCTCAGAAAGCTAGCACTGCTGATTGGGGCCCTCAAGAACTGGGCCACTCACCGAGCCCTGGGGCAGGAAAGGAGGAGCTGCATTTACTTTTGACCCCTGCCTATAAAGGGAATCAGTGCCCAGGAACCAGGACCCAGCCCCTCGCCTAGCCTCCTCAAGGTGCAGCCAGACTCTCCTTCCATCATCCACCATCACCTCCACTGAGCTCTTTTTACTAGCCGTGTGAAACCAGAACCCAGCAGGTTAACTAACCTCCAGCATCAGTCAGAATCCTGGCAGGAAACAGAATTGCCTCTGGATGGCTCACACGAAGAGACTTAACGAAGGTGAAATGGGAATAGGAGTAAATATTTCACATAAAGAATGGTGAGGGACCCAGCCCCTCTAGGCTGCAAGACCTGAGGAAGAAAACGTGTTACCACCTCCAGCAATTGCTGAGTCACAGCATGGTCAACTTGGCAGGGGCTGTGGTCGTAGAGGGTGAAGCAGGAGGGAGTGGGGAAGAAGAAATACTCTGACCTCTCTCTCCTCCCCCCACACCCCATCTGCTGCTGGAGCCAAACCCAGCTGGCAGCCTGGGGTGAGGGAGCCAAGAGATGCCTCTCGGGGTCAGCCTCCCAGGGCACCGAGCAGGCCAAAGAATGGATCTGAGGGGTCGAACAGCATACCCACCAAGCCTCAATTTCTCCGTTTTCAAAGCGAGCATAATAATACTTCCCTCACAGGGTTGTGGGAATTTATTGAGATCACGTGTGTAAAACGCTTAGCACATTGCCTGACACACAGAACGCACTCATCAACTATGACTTTATTAGGACGATGTTATTATCGTCAATATTACGACTCCGCCTCTGTCACTGAATCAGCCTCCAGGTTTTAGCAGAACCTCACTTCCTCAGGGAAGCCTTTCTTCCCTTGCTCTCCCCACCCCTTCCCACCCCTCCCCACCCGGTGAGGCCGCCTGTCACACCAGGGGTTGGCAAACTGCGGCCCATTCTGCCCTGGCCCTGTTTTTGTATTGGATCACAGCCACACCCATCCGTTGCCTTACTGTCGGTGGCTGCTTTCATGCTGCAATGGCAGTTGAGTGGCTGGGACAAAGACCCTGTGGCCTGCAAAACCTAATAATAGTCACTATCTGGCCTTTTACAGAAAGCTCATACCCTCTCGCAGCCCTCTGTACTTCTAGCACTTCCCTCTATGGTAATTAGACAGATGTCTGTGCTTAGTTGTCCCCTGTCTGCCTGCCCCACCGGGCTGAAAGCCCCCTGGGGTAAGGACCCCGTCTGCCATTCCCAGAGCCCAGCACACCAGAGCTGGATAAATTCCCCTGGTTGCCTGCCCTTGTCCCTTCAGCCCCGGCCTCTGAGCTCCTTGCTGGGTCCCGTGGGCACCCGGTTCCTGGAGGCGGCTCCAGAGAGGGCTGGCTGCTGACTCCGCACTCCCTTCCAGAGAAGTGCTGATGCCGGCAGTTTTCGCACAGTAGAGCAAGCCCCGGCTACAGGAGTGTTTTCCACCAATTTTCCAAATCCTGGCTCCAGCCCTGGAAGCAGGATGTTAAGGTTTTCATTGATCACCAGAGGGCCTGGGAGTGCCTGGAAGGCTTCAGACCCACTTAGTGGTCCTGGCTTCCCACCCACAGCCTCAGATGACAGAGAGGCGAGTGCTGCTGCAGCCGTGGGATAGCCAAGGGGTCCCGTGGAGGGCGGGACCAGAGGGGCAGCTCCAGGGAGGCCTTCCCCTGTCTGGCAGTTAGACTGGGCTGCGTGGCAGGAGCCCAAACAGACGTGGGGACAGGAATATGCCTCTTGCAGTCCCAGGAATGGGAAGAACGCGGCTCCCCTCAGCTCCTCAGGAGGGAGTGTAAGCTACGGCTCTGGGCTCTCTTTCCAGCGGTCAGGCACCCTCACACCTGTCAGGGAAAGGCCCCAAGGCACCTTCATTCACTTAAGACTTACACGCCAAGCATCCACTGTGAGCCAGGAACCCAGTGGGACAAGGCAAAGACCTGGTCTCCTGGAGCTTACAGTTTAGTGGGGGAGAGAGGCAGCTAAAGCCACCAGCGGGCAAGGCGTGGCCTGTCAAGGAGCCAGAAGCAGGCCCTGTGAGTTCCCTGACCCTTCTCTGTGGCTGCGCGCGCTTCTCTAACCAGCTCTCCTTGGGCACTGGAGACCCTGCCTCCAGCGTTAGAGGTAGCCCTGGTCTCCATCTCTCCGAGGCCTCTGTCAGTGTCAAAGTGGTGCTGAGCTGAGGCTGTGCCCCTTGTGTCTGCACTGGTCCCCGCGCCCCACAGAGAGCTGCCCCCACTCTCCACCCCTGGGGAGGGGCTATGCCAGCAGTTCCACACCGACAAATAGACTGTGAGAAAAGAAATGGAGAAACCTTCTCAGTTTCTGGTCTGTGGAGAAAAAAGGCCAGGAATGCCACGTTTTTAATTCCCCCCCTGTATGTAATGTTTAGTTTATATAAATGAACTAATATTTTCCTGGAGAGCAAAAATCATAAAGAACGTTGACCCCCAGAGAGGGCAAGTAATGTTTATGTGTGCCTTGGAACTGGTGAAGACATTTCCAGATTTTGTTAGCACCCCCTCCACGTGACTTAACCAACTGACAGGTTTTCTCTGAAGATTCCTTGGAAGCAAAGCAAGTCCATGGAAAATCTCAGCCTGGGCCTCAGGTTTCTGTACTCGTACCTTCTGGACTGCTCTCTGACATGCCTTCTTGTCTTCCTTGTTTTACTGCCTAGTGGGCAAATGCTCTGCTTTGGAGTTGGGCAGACCTGAGTTTAGAGCCTGGCTCCAGCACTTCTTAGCTGTGGGACCCTGGGCAGTCGGCTTAACTCTCTGAGCCTCAGTGGTCTTACTGGTGAAGCGGGAACAGGAATAAATGCTTCACGTAGGCTCACTTCACAGGGCCGAGGCTGTGCCGGAAGAACCCTGAGCACAGTGCCTGGCACACGCTCTCCACTCAGGAGTGTTAGCCTGTGGCCCT